AACTACTTAAACTCGCTCATTTTACCTATTTACTTTCATCAGTAATACTGACAATCAGTGTATACTCATCGGTATTGGGTTACCGGCCGGTAATCGCGCGACGTTGTCGATTCATTATACCTGTCGCGCCAGAAAGAAACGTCGCACAATGGATCGAGTCAATTAGAGAGGTCGGATATGGAATTTTTGACTGAAACTGCAAATTTTGATATTTATTTCGTCACATTTTAAATTTCAAAGGGTGCTTTTACAAGAAAATTTCACAAGGAAATCAATGGAACCACTTTTAAAATCTCTAAGTTTTGTATGAACGGAGTTGTAAGCTTTTAAAGTTTTCCAATCTTGTCCAAACTCTTCCATTGACTCGATCCACTGTGCGTCGTATGAACACTCCCATGTTGTAAAATCTCCTCTGATAAGATTCTAATTTTCTGGACGGTTTCAGAAATATCCCCAATGAATTTTTCGAAAAATTTCACCCACACTTTAACGCCGACCAAAATAATCAACAATTTTCTCGGAAAGTTATCTTTTACCGCATAAAATTTGGGGAAAATCCAGTGCTCATACGATAGTGACAATTGGACTACATTTTGCAATTAGGAACTATGAATTCTAGCCCGGTTTAAACACAACGTATGCGCCATTAGTTTCCCTATGCACACAAGTGTTTTTTTCAGATGAGCCAGAATTTATAGTTCCAAATTGCAAAATGCAGTCCAATTAATCTGCCGTGCTAAGGAAGAACGCCGAATGAACTATTAGGCGTTGCCAAGTTTCCTTTGATAAAGCACGAATTCCCTGGTGAAACTTATGAATATTTTCGTTCTGATTTTTCGGATAATTTTGTTCGGAGTTTCACCTTAAGTTCCTGAGAATTCCAAGGAAAAAATTCATAACTTTCCTCAAAAATGAACAGTTTACCGAAGGAAATTTGGCAACTCTCGAATGTTCATACGGCGTTTCTCCTTAGCACGGCAACAATGAGCTCCCGTTTTTTGGGTACGGGGTCGATAAAATCCGTTTAAAAATGGAACACGCTGAGCATAAATGAACCAATTCACATCAGCGATTGCCAAACTTCATGGAAATTTTTTTTTCTATAAGAGAACAGTTTTACAGACTCTTTCGAAAATTTCAGGGAATTTCCTCGTGTCACGAAGGAAAGCCCATACATTTTTCAAAATTATCCAGACAGTCGTTCTCCCGTGAAAAAATATAACATCCGATGAGATTTGGCGATGAGTGATATGACTTCGTACCTTTTTGCTTAGTGCTGTCCAAATATGGTCGTATGACATTTAGGTCTCGGCCAAAGAGGAAGACAGTTCAAGAAAGTGAAAAAATTGCTGCCAAATCTAGCAGACCCGTCTCTCGCTCTCAAAATATCACGCACGCTATAATGTTATTCCAGTCACAATTTGGCATCAAGGTAAAGCTGTCGTAATGAGATAATAACTAGTTTAATCGCAAACTTGCGCCAACCGGCTCAGCTGAATTCACTTATAAGTAGATGAATTTTGGTTGTAAAGTCACTTAGCGCGCGTTTTTTAAAGCCATCGTGACCTATAATTTTGCATTCCTCGGTAGGTTTGATAATCTTTTACGCTCAGAGGCGCCTTTGAATCGCACGTATTAGCTGAGCTGTAAGCATGACGACATGTCTGTAAAACCGATTGGTTATTCTTATTTATTTTTATATGTTTAAAAATAAGGCGGAAAACTAATAACAGAGCAAAGTCGGATTAATTTGTTGTCAAAGTCACGTTTTAAAAGTACATCAATGATCGCGATCGGTCTTGATTCGGCTCGTTTTGGCAATAATGGTCCCACAAATTGCACCATTTGACATCGCTGCCTCATACGGAAGATATCAAATAATTATTAGGATAGCTTTTTACCTATTTCCAGGTAAATTGAATGAGAAGATTTTGTAGGAGGTTAAGAGTGTAATTGCTGATAACGTCACGCGAGTATGTTATTGCAGCATGAACAATCTTCATTTTATTTGTATTTTTTTCTGTAAACATACTTGTTGTTTGTACTCCATGTGATAAAATACTCAAACCACCCTATCTTCGTGTTGCAGTCTCCGTTTGTAAATGTATCGTAGCCTTGAGAAGTAATAATCACCGCCGTTCGTTGTGCTTATGAAAGCCGGTGCGCCTGCAATGTTTTGTGTATGCAACGCGGACGTCCGGAGAACACGAATAGTTGCATAACGAATAGTCTGGATGCAACTATTCGTATTCCCCGGACGTCCACGTTGCATACACAAAACATTGTAGGCGCTTCTTCTTTCAGAAGCACAACGAACGGCGGTGATCATTGCTTCTCAAGGCTACGATACATTTACAAACGTGTATACCATGGCATCTTTGAAGTTGGAACGGGCCGTGTTGCACCATGGCATGATTGCCAAATTGTGCAAATTTTCCATCATAAACGCTTTCACAAGGGCATCTCGGATCCTAACCCCGCAAATTACTACTGATGAAATTTCCATAATTCGCTCTATTTCGCAACGCTGCCATAGTGCCACACGACTCGTCCCAATTCCGAGGATTATATGGTAAACACAATTGTAAATTCGACGTACAAAACTCCTAAGAACTAACAACCGCAGCCGTGCGTTGCACCTGAGAAAGCCACAGTGCCTGCGATTTTTGATGTATGCAAAGCGGACGTCTTGAGACCACGAATAGACGCATCCAGACCTAGCAATTGGAAAAACCGGAGCGCTTTCAATTTTTTCTGCGTGTGTCAACGAGGTGTGTCACTCATTGCATGAATACGTCGTCGTTGCCTGGAGGTAGGGCGGTTTGAGTATATTTAATCAAATTAAAAACAAAAAACAAGTAAGTTTATAGAAAAATATACTTGTAAATAAAATGGAGACTCTTCATGCTGCAATTACTCGCGTGACTTTATCGGCAATTACAGACTTAACCTCCTTCCAAATCTGCTCATTAAATTTACTCGGAAATATGTAAAAACCGTAACTTCGATAACCTAATCTTGAATTTGCACTGATGAGTCCGGATCGAACTTTGATGGATTTTGCCGAAAATTAAGCTTTGAGTGTGTTTATCTTTTATTTCTCAGCCGATAATACGCGCTCCTCTGGGCCGGGTTTGTTTTCATTGGTCCAACTTTGGAGCTCCGCGATAGCTTAAAACTGATGAACCAATCAGAGAGCGGCACAGGGATGGCAATACTCTCCCAAATACATGTACTCTAATAGGCTCTACTGCAGAATGCCGCCGTCCGATCACGACGACGCGGCAACGGGGCAGGAGTATGGATGTGGAAAGGTCGTTGCTTTTCTGCGTGACGTCAATGGAGCTCCGGCGCTACACCGGGAGAAGTGGAGCCAAACTGGTTTTCCTGATTCTGATCGTGAGTCCGATTCCTAATTCCTCGCGCGAGCACCCAATTCCTACGATCCGTGTCACGCAAATGAGTTCTCTATCTCGTCGATCCCCCATCAGCCATCGCCGAGTCCACATTCTGCCGTGCTAAGGAAAAACGCCGTATGAACCTTCAGGCGTTGTCACATTTCCTTCAATACGAAACGAATTCACTCGGAAAATTATGCATATTTTTCTTTGACATTTTCACATATTTTAGATCAAATTGCAAACAAAATCGCCTGAAAATTTGGAAGAAAAATATTCACGATTTCCCGAGTGAATTCGTTTTTTATTGAAGGAAATGTGACAACGCCTGAAGGTTCATACGGCGTTTTTCCTTAGCACGGCAGCATTCCCCGCGGATAACTTCACAAGATCGTGGATCTCGCGCGCGGGAAAATCATCGTCGCTCGCTGACCTGAGGGCATATCTCTTCTCTATTTCCACGTGAGCTCCGGAGAGCATGGCGCTGTATGGACGACAGGGCTCACGTTGAAATTGAGATGCGTTTTTAAGTCAAAGGGACGGTGAATCATCGTCCAAGAGTGGGGAGGAAGTCCAAACTCCCGTGCAATTTAAGAGACGAAGAAAATATAACTCCAACTAACGTAACGTGTTGCGTAACCCCATTCAAGAAGTTTTTGCTGTGATAAAATGCTCTGTTTAAGAACAGGTTGTTCATTCTTCATATTTTTGGGATGACTCACACCATCAGAATCTCATAATAAAGCGTATTGGTGATCCGATTTTCTTGGATGAAAGCGAAAGCGGTACGTGGGGAAGACAAATGGGAGATTTCGGTATGGAGTTAACAGCGTTTTTGCTATGAACCGCCGCAAAGATAATCCGTGATCTGATTTTCTTGTGCACACGGAGGAATAATCTTCGTGCGTGGGACCCGAAGTTTAGGTCATATGGATCTCTGATATTTTCGGATTGAGCATCTGAACACTTTAGATCTAGGTGTCGAGGTTCGGATCACACATCTGAAACTTCAGTTCTTACATTGGAAGTACTTCTGTTTTCACATCCGAAAAACTTCGGTTCTCACACCCGAAAAACTTCGGTTCTCACATCCGAAAAACTTCGGTTCTCACATCTGAAGTACTTCAGATGTAAGAACTGAAGTTTCGGATGTGTGATCCGAACCTCGACAGCTAGACCTGAAGTGTTCAGATGCTCAATCTGAAAACTTGAGAGATCCATATGACCTAAATTACTTCGGGTCCCACGCACGAAGTTTTTTCTCCGTGTAATTGGAATTTTGAATTTTTGTTTTCGTTTTTTCGCTTTCTGCCGGCGGAACCCTCTGATTTTCGAGGCGACCGATGGAATTGGTATGCGAATCAGCCTGAGCCTCAGCGGTGGATTGCGTGGCCGGACGGCCGGCGCGGCGTCAACTGGGGCAGGAGGCGCGACGCCGAGTCTCGCTTTTCGGCCCAGTTCCGCGGTGCGCGGCGCGGTGCGGCCGGTGCGGCAGTTGTTGCGTCAACGGCCCCGGCTAACTCCCGGTCGGGCCGCTCCGAGCGCTGGGTGCTAATGAGTCGCAGCTGCCGCGATAACGCCGTAACGCCGCGCCGCGCCGTCAGTCCCCGCGCGACCCACGATCCGACCCAGGCGAGCAGGCCCCAGCGCCGAGCGCCAGAGAAGTGCGCGTGTCCACCATGTGAGCCCGGTAAACAAACCCCCCTCGCGCCCCCAGCCCCCACCCGCGTCCGCGAACCTAACCTGTGCGCTCGTCTTCGGGAGTGATCTGTGCTCGTGTGCTTTTGGATTTGGATTTCGCATTCTCCCGCCTTTTGGATTAACACTAAGGTGCGTCCAATCGCAGATCATGCCTTGGGAAATTCCAGCGATGGATCGTATTCGATACATCAAACGGGTGAGATCGTATCGATATCGATTGGTTCAAAACATAAACACAGCCTCAAAAGTAAATTGAGTAATGTGACGGAACAGGTTTTATGTGAAGATTTTTGATTCGTATGAGTACTCATTGGCGAAGAAAAATGAAATTCCGACGAAATTTCTCATTTACAGCTTTTCTGACAAATGTCTTAAAATTTTGGTTGGAGGTTATGCTCTATTGTTTGGAACCAAACGATAAATCGAACCATTATGGAATACGATCCGTTGACTGATTTAGTGGCTGCATCATTTGATATAATATCGAACCCTTGGTTCAAAAGTAAACAAACGCAGAACCTTGTTTCTGATTCGCGCCCTTGGTACCGTGGTGGTAAAATGTGTCCAAGTGATTCTTACAATCGATATTTCTCGTGTTTAGTGAGTCTTTAATTGATTTATGACCGGTTTATGACTAAAATTTAATAAATTAACACATTCAACTCATGAAGAATTCGCATATGAGGTTATTTAGTTTGTTTTGGTTTGAACTAAGAGTTCGATATTATATAGAATGACGTGGGTGGTCACTGGTGGGCTTGCCCGTCACATCAATATGAAATCATACTGTTATAAGCCCAGCCATAGGGATCGGACTGAGTTTAACTCAAGACATATGCGTCGAATTTGTGCTTAAGACGTCCATGTTGGTAACATGTTGAGACCATGTTGATGTCAGTCATCATGGTAGAAGGGTGGTATCAACTCGATTCAACAGACTTCTATGAATTTAGTATGTTACGAAGTAACATGCTGCGTTGGTAATATGTTTGCTTAATGTCGGCGTCAACATGATAGGTACTCACCAGGTTTTACTCACCGACATGGTTGTTTTTAGCAGAGATCATACTCAAGACCTCTGAAAACTCGAGAAAAAGACTTCATCCTGTTTTCAGGTTGTAAAAATGTCGTGTAGTTGTGTTGTGTTACACTGCCGTGCTTAGGAAGAACGCCGTATGAGCCTTCAGACATTGCCAAGTTTCCTCCGACAAAAACCGAATTTACCGGGAAAATTATCAGACAGTGCTGTACGCAATTTAATCTCGATGATCTGAAAATTTCAAGGAAAAATATGCATGAATAATTTCCGAAAAGTATGTTTTATCAAAGGAAATTCGGCAACTCTCGAATGTTCATACGGCGTTTTTACTAAGCACGGTTGTACTGTGGGTACTTGTATTGCTTTAAGCATGAAATAATATTAATTCTGAGCCTACCGATAACAATTGGGCCGACTTAAATAAGAGGGAACCAAGTCACGTTTTGTCAAATTTTAGACCATGCCACAGACTTGGGAAAACTTGAGATATATTATTAAATATAGTTTGCATATTAGAGGCATTTTACATAACTTTTCTGATTCTAAATATGCGAGTTCATTTCCTTACGAATCCGCGTTGATACCATACTGATATATTGGAACCGATTCACATCCAGATGGAACCGAGACGGTTTGAAGTTTCATCCATTTCAAAAATTCAACATGATAGGTGAAGTTCAACTCCCTCTTTCACTTCCAATTTTTTTTATTTTATTTATTTTTTTTTCTCTCTTTTTTTCTTGAAATATTTGAAAGAAAGGAAAGGTGCGTCTCGTTAAGCTCCAAACTACTCCTGACTCCTCCTGACTTGGTTTCTTTTCTGATCAAATCTATCAGGGAGAAAACTCGATGATGCAAAACCGCAATGTTGACTTCAACCTGATTTCAGGTTGACTCTGTAATTACTTAATTACTGTAATTTACTTCCTCTATTTACGATGAACATAAACTGATGTATGTTTTCATGTCACTCCAATTTTCACATATTCTTTGCATGCGCGTTGACATCAACATGGCATTAAAACTGACATCATAATGACCACCAAAAAAGAGCATGAAATCGTGTTACCCAAGTTTTTCGGGGCGAACGCAAAAGCGGTAGATCAGTGCCACTGTTGGCGTATTTCTTCTTGCTTTTTGTGCATAATTTAAACTGATTTTCAAGCAGAAACTTTTTTTGCCATTGTGCCAGCATGAGAACGTTTCCGACCTAACGGTATGGACCCTTGTCTACGTCGTTCAAATTGTGCAACTCTTCTTTTTTTATGCATGCGCCCGAAGGCTCTCACCCGCTTTATGCGTCGTTAAAGTCGCTGTCAAAGCACCAAGACCTCGATAGACAATCAAATTCCGAGCCGATTCCGATAAAAACGGATCATTTGATGACTCCTGGTCACCACGCAACATTCTTCTTTCATTGAAATTGGACGGGCTCAAAATGGAGCGCCGCCATTCATCATTTCTTCCCGGAAGAAACATCTCTGCCAAGTTTTCTTTCGAAAATAATGCCAAGTAACGATTTTAGGACTGATGACTCCCGATAGACCTCCTCCGTCCGTGGATGGACTTTTCTATCGGCTATCGAGCTCTCCAAGAATAATACAGAGAAATGGACCGTGTTAAGCAGAAAGGAACCAAGCCACGTCACCTATTGCCAAATTCAATCGAATAATTTGATTTTTTACGTGAAAACGGTTTTACGGATTTTTTTGAAAATTTTAGTGAATTTCTTGCATAGTAAGAAGCAAATGTCTCGAAATTTTCAAAGGAAACCGCACAAACGTTCTTTTGTAAGAAATTCAACTGTCCAGTTACATTTGGCAGTAGCCGATGAGGCTTGCGGTTTCTTTCTGTTACACACGGTCCAAATCCCGGGGCAAATCGGTGACGTGCCTGTATATTCTACTCCAAGTTGAATAGTTGTGCAGATGCACCCATTTAAAAACGTTCACATGGTCGGAAAGGTCCTCACGTTATAAGGATGTGCACAATCAAATAGTAAGTTCAGCAATGAGGATCGGTGTTTTACAGCTGCCCTGGTAAAAAATAAGTGTTAGAACCTAGTAGGTCTAAGACAAAGTGCGTAGATCCTAGGAAACCCGCTTACTGAGATTCATCGAAGGACGAAAAATATTCGGGAAAATCACAGCATTTGTCAGGAATTTTTTAATCAGGTGCTTTATGATGACTCGGGTTCAGATGAAGAGGAAAATATTGATATTTTTTTCTGAATCGCGGAGAGTACTTCACTTTTTTCCTTGAGAATCTAGCTGGAAGTTAGAGAAAACTCCAGGTTTTTGTCGGATAATGTTTCCTTGGAAATCAGGGGTTGGGTTACATAACGAGTTTAAATGCTTTTTTTTTCGAGGTTCTGTAGAATTTTTCGTCGGTCGTCTTTAGAAGTTTAAAGAATTATAATATATATAAAATTATAATCAGAGAGTATATAATAATACTCTCAATAGAAACGCCAATCTTTCTAGTTTTAAGGTGATATTTAGATACTTTTTTAGCGAAATGGAGAGGGGGGGGCAAGCGTTACGTAATGTTTAGGGGAGTCTAGCACAGCGTTACGGAGCGTTATAGGGGGATGTCAAAAAACCGCAAATTTAGTGTTACGTAATTTACGAACCACTCTCAAGAGAAGTTGCTGCCTTTGAAGTCAGGTTGGATTCCGAAATTAACAGCTTCTATCATGCTCTGCCGGAATATTTGTGGAGGATCGCTACTTGTCTCCATGAATATGTTAGCGTCAATGTCTCACGGAGACTGTGACCAGCGCATAGGTCAGTGTTTTAGCGCTGCGCGAAAAACAATTGTTAATGATGTAACACTCGCTATTTTTACCTGGGGCTCTGATGGGGAATACTTTTGTGAATATCGATGAATGGGATTGACTCAGGGTCCAAATACTCTGTGATGCCTTTACTTTACGTACAGGCACGTAACACAGTTACGTTTACAGTGCTTTGGTTGATCGATGTGTCGAAGGCAAATAGTCAAATCAGGCATTTTGTCAAATGCCTATATGCAGATAGTCAAATATTCTTACTTAGATTGGATTAGATTAGATTAATTTTTTACCCTAATTTTCGACAAAATAACTTGTTGCTCCTGTAAGAAAGACTTCTCTGTAAATATATGCAGCATACAATAGTATTTTAAACGATTTTAAGATCCTGAATGCACATTTCTCATGAAATTTTCAGCACTTCACAAACCAAATAATTTTTAAAATTTTAACATTTAAGTGTACGGAAGGCATGTGAAAAGAAGGGGACAAGGTGAGTTCGCAGATTTGAAGAGTTATTCTTCCCAAAATATTGAAAACCCGTGAACTCCACGCCATAATCTACGGAATTTCGTAAAATGTCAAAATTTGACTACGGGCCTAGGCATTTGATAAAATGCTAATTTGCCTTCGACAGATGCCCAAAATAGTGACGAAAATATGCGTGGCACTGCCCGGATTTTTTCAATTACTGAAGTGGGGAACATCATCCGCGGCGCCTTGCACCCACCAAAATTCCATGATATCACAGATTAGTCATGAAATTGCGTAGAAACCGACACGAGTTTAATTGAAACCTCTAAATCACAAGAACTGTCATGCCTTCTGCGGGGACTCTGGGAATTGAGAGTGTATTTGGAATGCTTTCAGTAGGGAGGCTGAGGAGGTGAAATACTACCTGTTTTCGATATCATTAAAATTTGCACAGCTAGTAGCTGCGTCAAATTCTCTTCATATCACGAATAGTAAGTAGAATTCATTCATGCGTTAGACAGATGAAAAGTAAGTCGCTCGAAAATAGAATCACGACTCTCGCTCCAAATGCATAATGCTCGACGGTATTCAATGAAGCAAATGTTATCGAATGATGTTGTTGGGCTCATCCGCGTATATGTGTATTTCTGTGCAATAAATGAAGCATTTATTTTTGAGGGAAGCTACGATTATTTTGTCATGAAGTTTTTAGTGCTTTAGATCTAAATCTGTACAAAATTTTTCCGAAAAATTTGGAGAAAAATATAAGTTTCCTCTAAAAATTTCTATTCTTTCAAGATGAAGGTATTATTTTAAGGTTTGTAATGCGTTTGTTCTTAGCATGGCCGTACTGAAAATCAGGATTGCAGAAAGTTCCTCACCTTCGCATTTTTTGAGGCCAATTTCACATTATTGCTGTCCACATGCCGTCGCCTCTCAGGCATGAGGGCATATCTCAATTTCTACGTAAGCCCTAATAATTTACAAATATAAATCCATGCTCTCTGGGGCTCTCCCAGAAATCGAGATACGCCCTTACGTCAGGAGAGGGATGGTAAGACATGCGGGTTTCACCATTGCCATCGCATAAAGGGGCGCGTTGAACTATTTTCTTTGCACAAGAGACCGCGTTACACAGTTTCCTTCGCAAAAAGCTATGCGCTTAGCAGGTTTGTGCCTTCTGCTTTCACACCCCCCCCCCCCCCGTCTTTAAACGCCCTCACATTTTTTTACCCCTTTTCAGGTGCCTTAACTTCTGCTCCACGATCACCGAGAAAAATGATCGGTAGAATTTACCATTGCGTCACGCCCCACCGTATTTTACACAGCGTGAATTCAAAGTCGATTCTGCCAGTGGAATGATTACCTGTACCAGTATATAGTAACGTTTACCTTTCTTCTGGCAGAATTGACTTTGAATTGATGCTGTGTGAAATACGGCGTGACGGAATGGTAAATTATACCAATCTTTTTTCTCGGTGATCGATCCCCGATCGGCCGATCGAGCCCTTTCTGCACTCCTGCTGAAAATCCCTGTATTTTGAAACCATTTTCCATAATGCCAAGAAGTAATGTTATTCTTTTTATTTTTTCAGGAATTCTCGGTCAGTTTGCGTGGAAGCAGTGTGTTCGTCGTGCTTCATATCGCCCTTCAAAATGAAGCCGTAGTGGATGCGAATAATACTCAAAACGTCCGTTTTGGATGCAGCGCTGGTTAGCCTATAAATCAATGGAATGGAAGTATAAGTCTGCACCATACGGGAATGTGTTTGCTTACCTGCAAGCTGTCGTCAGTCCGCCCAGCTCGTTACATCTCAAATTGTCGGTTTACAGTGCGCTACTTGTGAATAAGTCGCTCGGTTCGTCTCGTGGTCGTGGCGGCAGGCCAGTAGTTCTTGCTAAACCTTTAAGTGCCTCAAGAAAGTTTCTAAGAAATAAATATATATTTGTTTAATATTCGTCGCGGTTTGAAGTTATAAAATTGAAGTGCGCGTCTTTTTTATGTGTTCCGTAGCATGACGTAAAGCTCTCTTATCAGCACACTCTTTGATGGTATCAGGGTTGGATGGTATCGATGTGTTCATCGTAATTACGTCATATTGACGGTGGGTTTATCTCGATCTTAAATCTAAGTGCCCGTATTAGACGGTTGATGGATAGCGAGGCTGGTGAAGAGAAATGAGAAAACCAGTAGTTTTTTACGAATTTGCATCAGCTTCATAAAATGAAATAGGTGCTATCGTCCTTTCCCTCGTTTTTTTCTAAACGTCATAATCTTGAAAGCCTTTGAAGTAAATTAGGAAGGAGGGAAATTTCTGTTAAATTTGAACGATTACCTAACACTGCGAAAGGAACTTTAAGGTCCGTTCAAACCTTTAAAACAATTTCTGAGTGTCAACTTTTGAAGAAAACACCTGTGTTGAGATTGAAAAATTGGCAATTTTGAGGAGGAATAAAAAGTCCGGTCAGCGTGGAGGAGCCTTTCTTATGGTTAAAGCCGGTGCTTTCCTTGGAAAATTGCCTAATCCCTGAAAAAAATTTCTGAGCCTCATTTTTTGGCCATTCTCCGGAGAAAACACCGGTGTTGGGATCAAGGAATTGGCAACTTTGAGGAAGAGTAAAATATATAGTCAGTGTGGAGGCGTCTTTCTTTTGGTCAAAGGACCGTTTTTCGTTTGAAAATGGCGCGCCTGGAGGCATGGGACGAAAATGCGGACCTCTGAACGGCGGGGCAACTCGGTGTAAGCGCTGCAACCCAAAGGCTACTCATGAGTGATATCAACCCCGACGGCCTCTCACTCAGCGATCAAGAATCCAATATGGCGCGGGGTACGGACTCGGGCGCGTGCGCCTCAAAAACGCGGCAACGACGAATGGGCATCGTGTCCCAGACGCAGAAAAGCGCCGGCTCAGAGAAAAGCGCGGAGCCGGCCAAAGAGCAGGGCGAGGAGCAGCGGCCTCTCTACCGCTTCCCGTGCGTGGAGCGGCTCATCCAGAAGTACTCGATCATGCTGGCGAGGCAGCACGAGAAGCAGGCCGCCGTCGACCAGCAAATCCTCCGCCTCACGAGGTCCTCGGAGAACCTCTCCACGGACCCCCTGGACCCTCTGGACGAGGTCATCGAAGATGGGCTCAGCCTCAAGTCCACCCCTGACCTCGCCGACATCAACTCCAATCGGCAGGACATCAAGCCCTTGACCGAACTGGACAGTAGCTCGACTCCAACCTCCAAAACTGTGCATCCCTCGACGCAGCCCAGCGATTTGACCATTTTCGACAGCGCCAGGGCTGAAGACGCCTCAGGACAAACTGGCCGGGGCTCAGATGCAGAGCAGCCTGAAAGAGTAGAAACTGGAGACTCTGAAATCAGTCTCAAGAGAGGTAAGAGTTTCGAATTGGACAGCCTCGACTTCCGAACCAGTCTCCCCGATAACGCAAATCGGGAGGGTGTAGATACGACGGAAAGAAAAGGAGATACCGTTGAAGGATCTACTTGTGATCCCAGTGCGGGGGTGGATGTTCCGAAGGACGATTCGATGAAACGGGAAGATTCCTCCGGGAGTGTCTCCTGTCTCGCGAGCAGCGACTCCAACTCGAAGTGCGACTCGTTCTCCGAGGAAGAGCTCCTGAGCCGCAAGCTGGCTTCCGGCTACCGGGCCCCGAAGAAACCCGAGTTGCCGTCGCCGGAGTCGGACACAGCGCCCTCTCGCGTGGCCTACCTGGAAGTGAAGCCCGTGGTGCGGAACAAGAAGCGACGCCGGCGCTCCTGGAACGGGCCCTCCGTGTCCTTCTCGCGACCCGGGGTCGTGTCCTCGGACCCGGCGCCCGAGCGTCGCTACGAGCGGAAGGGCCACAGCCTGGACCAGTCCATCTACCGCACGCCTCAGCTGCGCAAGTTCTCCGAATGGGACGCCTCCTGCGACGTCGGGAACCTGGACAGCGTCTTCTGCGGGTCTTGCTGCTCCGTGGAGCTGGGCCCCCGGCGGGAGTCGAACCTCAGCTCCGTCTTCACCGACGAGGACCCGGACGCCGAACCGGAGGCCCGCTACCATTACCTCCGGACTCCCTCGGTCGTGGTGAGCGACCACTCGGACGACCCGTACTTCGCGAGCTCCACCATCACGCTCGAGGAGATCGAGCAGTTCCGCGCCGAGTACTCGCGGCAGCAGCACGAGTGCGGTTTCGGCGAGACGTCCTCGGAGTGTTCGGGCGCCAGCACGTGTTCGTTGAGGGCGTACGATTGTGATTGGCTGTCGCGGCGCAAGGCCTCCGATTGCTCCACCTGCAGCACCCTCAGCGGCGACGACGACAGCAGCTGCGAGCAGATTCTCCAGGATATACGACCGCAGGCAAAGGTAAGACAACGTCCCCATTTACTTTCCATGTCATGTCTCTAGGGATTCCTCCCCTGGGCGCCACACGGTTAAACATGTCCGTGTATGCTGCCGTGCTGAGGAAAAACGCCGTATGAACATTCGAAAGTTACCAAATTTCCCATAATAAAACATGTGTTACTGACAACATTCACGCGTAGTTACCCTTGAAATTTTCGGATACTTTAGATTAAAGTACGTACAAAATTGTCTGAAAAATTTGAAAATAATATTCACAATTTTCCCAGTAAATTCGGTTATTCTTGGAGGAAACTTGGCAACGCGTAATGACTCTTACGGCGTTGTTCCTTAGCACGGCAGTGTGGTAATGAGAAAACATGAGCCGCTGCAGGCTGAATGGCACCCCTACTTTTACGAGTCGTCTCTGAATGGCTGATTCGCCTGGACGCCTGGTCACCTGGTGCCTACTTTAGAGGGCCTTATGGAAAATAACACGGGGTTCTTTTTCCATCGATGATATCTCGCAAAACCAGGAAAAATTTACGCGTCGGAGATTTCAGCAATTAACTCTTCAGATTTTTCCATGCATGGGCAATACATGACAGTTTTTTCTTCACTTAACCCACCGAACAGTTCGACCTGGAATTTTGTTTCCACATGACACCAAAGTATCATGTTTCAAGTTAAAAAAACAGAAATCCAGGTTGAATTGTTCGGAGTTTTAAAGAAAAAAGTGCGTCATGTATTACCCATCAATCTCTTCAGAAAAATCCGGAGAGTTGATTTCTGTGATCTTCGACGGGTAAATTTTTCCTGGTTTTCGAGGTATTTTCGATTACAAGCTTTAATCACACGCGGAAATCGACAAAATTTTGGACTGATACCGCACAATCCTATTCTCGTAAAAGATTGGATGCACGAAAATATCGGGAGTTTGAAGATCGACGACAAATAATCACAAATTTAAATTATGAGTAATTTATTTGTTGAATCGCCCATAATGACATGATAATAAGAGAACTCTAGAAATTTTGATCCTCAAATACCGAAATATCTCCATGAGCTCTGTCGATAATTATAATTTCAAATATTCTAGAGTTTTCCGGGTCAAGCTGTTTAAGAGGAAGGAAAATTTTGTTCATTCCTTCGATATTTAGATGGCACTCACGTACTTTGTCGGAAACCCAACACATTTGAGGGAATATTTTGAATGCGAAATTGAAGAACCAACATTTTTTGGAAAAAAATTGCACCGAAATAAGTCTCTTACTCGTAAAAATAATGTTTTCCTTCTTTCTGGTAAAAAAACCTCTTTAGGGGCATGGGACACCTCCTCTGAGTCCTCTGTCCCCGTCGCGCGGCGGTTTTCTGCCACACTAACGAGAAACAAGACATGAGCATTCGGACGTTGCCACATTCATCCCGAAGAAATATTCATTCACAAGAAAAGTCATTCATAATTTTCCTTGAAGTTTTCAAATTCCTCTTACAGAGCTGCGAGGGAAATTCTCTGAAAATTCCAGAGAGAAAAATTCACGAGTTTCTAAAAAAAAAGCTTGTGCTTTATCAGAAGAAATTTTGCAACTTCTGAAAGTTCTTACGGCGTTATTCCTTAGCTCGACAGTATTCTTGACATTTTGCATCCGATGGATAATAATGCTTCGCGCTCACCGAAATTCCTCGCCAGATTAAGCTATCGAATTTGCCGTGGGAACCGCCCGCTAATGCCAAATTTCTCGTTTAATTTCCTACTATTCACGTCATTATTTACGTTTTTCGGTTGGTTTGACAACTCGGTTGTGTCAGTCAATTGAGATCAAACCGTTTTATGCGGTATGGATGTCAAGTGTTCCTTCTGGCGGAGATTCGCTCATTTGAAATGCGAGGAGTTTCTTCCTCGTCCCCTCGCATCAGTGGCGTGGCATGTTTTGCGATATATCGATTGATCCGTCATCTGAACCTATAGAAAAGTATCGATAAGCATGGTGTTCGCAACGAACGCCGTTATAATCGATTCCTTACCATAGCTTCAAATGGGGGAGATATCGATATAATCGATCACTCACGCGCCTCGCCTCTGCCTCTAATCTTCTCTCAGCTTTAGCCTTTTATCACCTTCATTTTAACTTTGAGCAGTACCTTTCTCCTCTTCTTAAATGGCTTATGATGTGATTCTGGGAAGTCGAGCGTAATCTGAGTGTAAAATTCGCAGCGATCAATTCTCAGACACGTGGGCGTCAATTCTTGATACACTTTATGACATTGTGAAAAGGACACTGAGTCAAGGATAATTTTGAGTTAGTCAATAAGCACATATTTTCCTGTCAAAAATATATAGTTCGAAAAAAATTTACTAGTAAGTGAAAAGTTGCCATCGGAGCATTGGCGGATCTAGCAAATCGGCAACATTGTCTTTTCTCCATTTAAACCTAAAGAAATGTATCGATCCTTGGAGGGGCCAGGTGCTCGGACAAGAATCGGTCACTTGGTATAGGTTTAAATGGAGGAAATCTGGTGTTGCCAAATTGCTGGATCCGCCTCTGCATCGGAGAGGAGTGAAACTTCACCTTTCTCCATTGCAACTTGCAAGTCGATATTACTTGGTGCTCTTTACTAAAGCCTCTCCAAATGCTCACCTTAGAGCTGTATTCATAATAGTTTCTTGAACACCTCCTTTCTTAAAATGGTTTACATTGCGATCAAAGGTGGCACAAGTATGTATTTAACACCCCACCATAAAAAGTGCGTCCATGAAAATAGCGCGGTGCCAGCCAGCACAGCGCAACGTGGTCGTATCATTGTCGCAGGGTGACGCGCCTTCAATTTCAGCGAGCGGCAATGTGGGTATCACCCGTGATCGAATAGTTATCTCAAGAGCGCCTTCCGCGAACGAAGTCAAATCTTGATAGCTACACGCGCAAAAAAGGCTATTTACCTCCGATCGCAATTTTGCATAGCTCCATCATGTTTTATTTTTATCAATTTTCTTTTGAGGGACTGAATAAGTTTCTTTTTAAGATTTTCTTCGAATTTTCGTGAATCGTTTAATATATCTTTACAGGAAATATCGAGACGGCATTTTGATTAGTTTTTTCTTCTTTTTTTTAAATTTATTTAAAATTATAGATTACAATTGGATCGAGACTCTTACATTTTTGAATGAAAGTACATGTTTTCCCTCAAACTATAATAAATACGCCGTGGGTCGAGAATTATGTCGCGCCAGTCAGCACATCGTGTGGTCGTGTCATTGTCGCAGTATTACGCGCCTTCAATTTCAGCGAGCGGCAAAATGAACATTACCCATGGTCGAATAGTTATCTGCGAGTAAGATTCGTCAAAATTGTCTTTTTTGTGGTGCATGATATTGAGAATATCCTTAAACCTCCCAGAACCACATTGTAAACCATATTGGGCATCGTAAGGAACAGAGCTGTCTGAGTAACGACTTCGTCTTAGACTTTGATCACCGGTACACTAATCAAATTGAAGTTCTGCACGCTCCAGAGGAGCAGAATTTGCCGAACTGGTCTCTGACGAGATGAAAATTGGCAAATGAGCGAAAGCTCTCACTTCGACACAAGTCAGCGCCGTTTGGTTCATTTGACCCGACTGACCCAGTCCGGGCAGGAGTTGAAAGGCTTCGAGCTCCAATTTTGGTCCGCTTTGAAATTATGAAAAATTACTCCTCTCCAGTCTCGACCTCCCATGCCTCCGCAAACACGAATTATCACTAACCTCGCAAGAACTTGGACTAATCAGCACAAAATGTATGCGAATCCATCGCTCCGTCACACAATAGATCGAGTCAATAGGAGAGGTCGGACAAAATTTGGAAACTGTAAACTCTTATAACTCCGTTTATACAAGACTTGGAGTTTCTAAAAGTGGTTCCGTTGGTTTCCTCGTAAAATTTTCGACTAGCAGCAACCCTCGTAATCAGATTTTGGAAATATGACCCACATTTTTTTATAATTGAGTATGCCTGGGAGATTAGAAAGGGGGCAAAATTGAACCAAGCGGAAAATTTTGAGTCTTGATCTGTTAGTAGGGTAAGGTAAGTGAATCGAAGGTATGCTCCTTTACTACAGACTATCCATAAGTAAGTAACGAAACGCTCTGTTCCATTCGTTCCGTTTCGTTTCAGTCTTGGCCTGGAGTTGGAAATAAACGGCGGTTTTCTTATTTGATTCTTATTGTTCCAATTGTTCCTGGCCCTAGGGAAATTGGACACATGAGAGTCGGGTATGAAAATCTCTTCATTTTTTTTTTGCCATTCTTCCGTCGAAGCGGACCTAAGAGAGGGCGAAGCGCCCTCTGGGGGTTGGGCCGCGTAGCGGCTAGGAGGCCCCCTAGTTTATAATAAATGTCCAGAGAAAGTATCGACCGCGTTTTAAAGGGAAAATACGGATAAAGTAAACAACGGGGAAAACGAAGAATGCCTTCATTTTAAAGAAAAATAATTTACATAATTTTCGTGATACGTGGTCGTTGAACCGCTTAACTGACAACGATAAAATTGTCGCTGTAATTGTAAGTCGTTTGTTTTGTTGAATACTGTCCGTCCATCTACTGACTTATTTGTGTTAGTTAAATTTAGTCCCTTCATAGGGAGAGTCCAGACAAAGGGGCTGATTAATGTCTCAAAACGGAATAAAAATTGCAATCTGAACATTTCTCGTAATCCTTGATCAATTCTTCCTCGAATTCCTCTCCTCCATTCCTTCTCCCATTCCGCTTTTTCCCATGATGTACCCCCATCTCCCCAGTCCATTATAGTCTATAATCTTTTCAATCGCTGAAAATGTAACCTTTTTTCGATTGGTCACACTGTGGAGGCCTGAAACGAGAACCAATCAGAAATTGGTTCCTTAAGTCTTATACCTCTAAGTATATAGGACTCAAGTAAAATTGATCGTGAGAAATTTACGTCAATTTTACGTCTATGAAGACGTCAAATTTACGTCAATGAAGGCTTCAAAAACCTCTGAATTTGAATCTGGCAAGGGTGTGTTTCTTTT